TTTTTATTAATTTTTTCACTGTGGATTGCGAAAAGGTCGCTTAAGGTGGTTAGAGCGAGATAAGTGTTATGTTTAACATGCCTTTTTTATTGTATTAATCGAAAGATGAGAGGTTCTTCTATGTTCTGGTAGAGTTTGAATCGATTTTACCGTCCAGTTTTTGCGTAACGAGACCGTAAAGTTTACTATTTTAACATGGGCTCTTATGGTAACCTGACAGATTTGATCTGAAATTTTAAAATTGTGAGAAAACTAACTGTTGAACATGCTTTTAAAATCTCTTCTTTTGGTAGCTATCATCTCGAAGAATCAACATGCACAATTGGAAGGAAATCTACCGTTTCAAATGGGAAAATTTTGCAAAATAATATGCCTAAATCAGTCCAAAGGGAGTCGTTCGAGCTCTTTCTAGAGGTCGGGACTGTGACGCGCATCTCGGCAACACCGCGCGCTCAACGCGCTTTATTCAAATCGAGTGACAAGACCTTGCAAGAGTTTGGAGAGAACCAAACTTTTGATCTTTTTAAGCAATCGAATAATCTAAGGTTTGCCCTACCATTGGTTCAGGTAATTCAAGAAATAAAAATTGGAGAGAAACCAACATTGAAAAAATATTTGAAATTTTTTTATTACGTAATTTTTCACGTAATAATGGGGGAATTATTTCGTTTTCTCTCAAATTCCGCCTTGGAAATAAATTTTCCACCAATTCGCTTAGATTGTGATATTTACCGCGTGTCGACCAGGCAACGAACAGTATTCATAGTGATTCAAAACAAAGAAACTTTGAAGAAGCATGAGCTCTGAGCAGTCATGACAATCTCCAGGACATTACGGTGTTGCTCAATTTATTATAGACTTTTTGCCGCACTCACACATGGAAATGTTTGCCATTATTAGCGATCACTGTACAAAAATATATAGATATGTCTATAATGTTACTTTTTATTATTTTACACGTACTTATTGTGTAACAGTGTTTTTCTGTACAATCTTATGCTTCAATTTTTCATTTCGTGGCCATGCGATCGGTTGGTACATGTTAAGAAACTAGTCAACGGGAGCTCTTTATGTAGTATTAAAATATTTTTATTTTACATCTATTAATCTAAATTAATTCGAATAATTAAATGAAACTCAGCATAAAAGTCCCTATTTAGTTTATGTAGGTCCCACAATACCCACTTATCTCGCAAATAATTATTTTTGAACGTAATATGGACTCTCTGCCTACTAGGGAATATCTCGCTCTAACCACCTTAAGAGAATGATGCAGGTCCTATTTTCGCTGAAGCCCTTGTCTTTTCAAAAATTGGAGAAATTAAAATTTTTTCGGCGTGATCTTACAACTACAATTGAATGGATGAAAACCAAAACGGTATAAGTGACATTTTATAAATGCTGAGACAATTGTTTATTTAACTCAATTTCACTGTAAAGTCGTGGTGATTTGTGTCATCACTAAAACCACGGCATTTAATATTTTAAGTCGGTGTTCATTAAAACCACGAAATTACGTCGGCACTGAAATATAGCCTTATATAATAACGTTTTTCTCAGAATTTATAAAACGTCACTTACACCGTTTTGGTTTTTACCCATTCAATTGTGAAGATATTTTATCTTAATGAAATCTGTTCATCAGAAACAGATCTTTAAATAAAGTCATATTTAATTTTTCGAACATATGAATATTTTTGCCCAATATTGCATCAAATAGACAATTTATACGTTTTAAACATTTTCTCAGAAACGGCATTAAATTATTTTGTTTTTTCAACCTTTTCCTCGTATGTAAAAATAACTATAAAAACAGAGATTATTGTTTCATTTTCGGTGCACTCTCTGGTTTTTGAAAATGGGAAAAGAATCGCAATTGCAAATTCCAATATCGCTCGCTTTATTCGTGTGATCAGTTCACAAATGGCAACACAGCGATTTCAAAATTCTTTCAATTCATCCCCTTGTTGTCGGCCGCATTGTATGGTGTAGAATAATATCCTCATCAAAAGGTAATAAATTTAACTTAGAAGTAACACATATATTTATTTGCTTTAGAAAGTTTTTGTCGCTGATTATGATATTCAGTAATTGAATGCTCAGTTCAATGTAATGAAGGAAAACCTGTTCGAAGTTATTCTTGATTTTCTGCATTATATGCTGAAAATATTGTGAATGCAAATATTTATTCCTGATTTTTTGTCGTAAATGTAAGAAATATCTACTGTTCCTAGCAATCAAAATAAATGCAGAACTATGCAATCCACCAGAGGCGAATCGTTTGAATTTGTTGAATTGAACATTTTCAAGTAATAGCTGAGGTGAAAATAGGACAGAAATTGCAATATCATACTATTACGTAACTAGAATAGTGCCAGAAAGAACGTGCTGTTGTAGAACCGCTTGTTTCTTATACGAGGTATATAATAAATTATGAATTATGAGAAAATAGATATCGCAATTACCACAAAATTAATTTGGGTGTAACTAAGTAAAATAAAGTTTTAGCATTTAGTTGTCTCGTAGAAGCTTATAGTTCTTGTATGAGTAGTATGAGTTTTTGTATGAGTAGAACATACCCTTAAACTGACCTAGGTCCAGTTTTCAATAAAATTCAATGGGAATTTCGAACGTAGAAATTGTACAAAATTGTTTATATTCTCTCGCAACTACAATATTATACATACATTTTTCTTTCTTAATGAAATCTATTCTAGAACATTATAACTCTGCAATGTCTCATGCACACATTTCTTTAACGTTAGTAGTTATCGAATAATTTTGAGTTCTTTTGTGACAATGTTCAAATATTTTCGAATCCACGTTACTAATCGTCTCGTAGCTCAGGTGGCAGGGCGATAGTGGGAAAAGTCAAAGAGCTCTCGTTCAAATACTGGTGGGGGCATGTTTTTCTTCCTTGAAAACATTTGTATGTATGTAGCACAATGTACTGAAACTAAATTCCGTGGTGGAAGCAGACATCTTGTGGTAATCCATAATATGGTAAAGGAAATAATCTCCACAAAAGTTTTAATAATTTTTATTAATAATTTTCCAGAGTTAACTTTCGGGAAAACACTTTTCCCATCCTCAGTGGATCTCTATCAAAATGGAGAAATGAAAACATTAACACAAGTTGAACACAAAAATGGCGGTGTACAGTGAATTTAGTGGAAAAACAAACAAATAATATCATATAAATACAAATAGAAACTACTTACTGCCCAAGCAATGTGGATCTCCCATGAAGGTTCAAATGGTCAAAAAATGTGAAAACGGCAAAACATGCTGGTTACAGCTAGGTGGCAGCCATCTTTTGGAATGGGAGAAGAGGATTGAAAGAATACCAATTGAGGGAAAAAGGGGGAATAGAAGAGAAGAAAGGGTAGTCATAAAAAAGAATTAAAAAATTGTTTCTGCTATATACAGGAATGTACAACAGAACAGAAAATTAAGAATGTGTAAGATTCTAGAATTTTAATTAAATAAAGAAAATTGTTTTTTAACAAGTTGACTAGATGCAAAAATGGGGAATGGATATAAAGAATTATTAGTTAATAAAATATTTAGAATGGGACTGCTTTTAATCAAGGAATGTTCATTCAAGACAGAAAAATTAATATTTTTGAAAAGTTTTAGAATTTCCAAGTTCTTCAAAATGTTCATTTTTGTGCCTTTCTTGACTAGGTGAAGAAATTGAAAATTATAATTGGGGTCAAAGGAATGGTCAAATTGAATCAAATGATTGGCAAAGGAGGAAGTGTCTAAATTTTGTTTCCAACATCTAATATGCTCATTAATTCTAACGGAAACTTTTCTGCCTGTTTGGCATACATATGCTGAATTACAGGTATTACAAGTTAGGTGATAAATTCCACTACTTTCAATGGGGGGGGATAAATGATTTGGAACTAGGGAATAAAGATTGGAGGGAGTTTAGGGTTTTGTAGGCTACTGAGATATTGTATTTAGTAAAACATTGTCCTATACGTTTGGATACAAGACCTATACAGGGGATGCAAATAAATTTCTTTGGTTCTATAGGGCAATGTTTTTTAAATAAGGTTTTTCCTCAACAAGTTTACTCTGGGGCCATTTCCGCATCATGTGTACGCGTCAAACCGCTCCTTCAGTGTAGACTTTCTTCCCTGCAGGTGGGGTTGTAGAGTAGGCTTTCTTTCTAATTATTATACATCAAAATGTATTCCTTCATATTTATTTTTATTTAAGAATAATTATTTAAGAAAATGGCAGTTTTCACACACACACATTAGAGAGAGAAAAAGGGAGGAAGTAGTCGTAGTGAGAGCATTTGCAATTACCATGCACTCATTCAGTCAGCAACCCTCATCATTATGGTAAGACATGAATCAACACTCAACAGCGAAAACGTCGTTGCCCACAACAGTTGATGGGAGAGCGGAGAAACAAAGATGTAGGAAAACTCGAGAACATTGCTGTTGATCTCGCCGTCACCGCCTCCGAGGAAAAAGTGGGGAAAAATCGCGTGGACGTGGAAATGTATTTCCGACATGGCGACAGACGTTGCCATCAGCGCGCGGCCTCTTCACGACGAGCAGAGTGCAAAAGATTATTGAGAGTGAAAAGACTATTCACGACATTGTCGTTTTCATGCATGCAGAAGTGCTAGCAATCATGAAAACTCAGTCATCTTTTTACATATTCGATTCAGAGCCCTGCAGCAACGCATTCTCATCAGACAAGTTATACAGTCTCTCCCCTCCCCAAACGAAAATACTCCTCCCACATATGAACCGTAAGTCTGTTCTTTATAAAGACAAAACACTCACATCACCTCTTCATTCAGACAACATCCACCATTATGCCAAGACGTGAAGCGAAAATAAATGTCCCGAGACTCGCCTACGAAGACGTACTCGAGGACAGCAGCGGCGGGTGAGAGCGCGAGGCCGCCAAGATGTGGGAAAACATCGCGAAGGCCGCAACTGACCTTACCGTCCTCGCTGCCTCCGAGGAAAAGGATGAAATAGATAAAATCAATATGCTGTGGGATATTACTGGTAAATTACGGGACGTTGCCGACGTCGCGCGGAGTCTTCACAAACCTCAGTCAGACCTCCAAAGACGATTAGAAAGATTAAACTATTCACGACGTTTCATGAAAACAAATATATTTGAAATTCTAGAAAATCTCATTTGTCTTCTTAAAGATCCAACTCAGAGGAGGTCTGGAGCATCGGTTTGTGCTCATTCGACAAATTATCCACACTTGTCCAACCACCACTCCCTCCGAAGAGTCTCCTCCCGAAGACGAAGCGGAAGAGTGGTCCACATCCTCCAGTGAAAAGAAGAAGAGGAAACGGACGCTGCGGAAAGAAAAGCAAGAGTTTAACATTAGCACTCAGCTCACTTTGAATCGCTGCTGAAGGAACACACCAAAAATGACTGACGTCTGCGGCGTTGGATTGGAAATCATCCATAAATCACATGTAAATAATATATTGAATGATGTGTTTCCCCCCAAGTGATTATGCAATCGAGAAAATCTGATGTTTCTTCCTTTGCAAACATTAAGATATTTTTTAGAATCGATAAATTTAATAGCAATCATAGCTCGTTCCTGATTCTCACTAAGTATTACACATTACTTTTAATATTCGCGGTAAATAACACTACGTAAAATGCAATCACACGTTATATTGACATGAAATTATTGTGATCCCCAAAACAAAAGATCAGAAATAAGTAATTTGCTTAGAGCTGCACTTGCCAATTATATTGTCTGTTGTAGAAAACTTCATGGTGACTAAATAAACTTTAAAAACTCTTATTTTGTTTAGTATTTTACATATCAAAGCTATTTTTATTAAACTATTTTCATGTTCCGTGACCATATAATATTTTCTTTTTCGATCTGAGAAACGGATGAAGTATTTCACAACTGAAAGCTAATATCGCGAATACGTGTTCATGCAACGGGCTCTAAAACGTATTTTTAGTTATTTACTTTTTCTAATAAAATAAGTAGATTAGACAGATCACTGTTGCAAATTATTTGTATAATAAATATTACTATTAGGGCCAAAACAAATTATTTTCGTAAAATAGTTTTATTTACAATTTCCAGTTGTACAGAGAAACCGTTCAAAATGCGTAGTTTACCAATTATCGAAAAGATACTCCAGAGCTTGTCAAAATCACTATAATTCAACGAGATGTCCAAATACGAATCCATAGTCACAAGACCAATATCGAGGAGAAACGTCCGTAACTTGCGCCGTTAACGTAAGCACTCTATAATCTCACATCACTACGCTTACAACACCGCCGGAAGACTGCAACTGCTTCACCGCTCGCTGCGCGCTGATTTATACCCCTCAGAGCTGAAGGCTCGCTGAGTGGCCCAGCCGTACGGCCGGCGACCATAGAGGAGAGATACAACTAGAGTGCGCGTGAACCTACTGCGCAGGTTTCAACATGCGGTGGCCGCAAGTCACGTGACTATGGGACACCGGAAGTTTGTTTTGCGTTGTATTCTGGGTACCTTTGCGTACTGTTTGTTATTTCTGGTGCTACAGCGTAATTATTTGGGAGTCTACAAGTTTAGCCAAGCTCATCTGGAAATGTTTTTCTAATGCATACGGAGCAAAGGCGGATTCAACAATAATCCTACTGCTAAGCAATTTGCTGGGACTTACAAGCGATTACTGGTGCATCACCAGATTTCTTATTCTGCCCTTGCAAATTGTGTTCTACGGGATGAAACAACTATATTAAATGTTAGCTCACGCCAGTATGCAAGTGTGTCACAAGTGAATGATCCTGAACTGTGCATTGAGGTGCCAATTGACCATATGTACTTGCCATCAGTAGACAATCTTGAAACTATATTGTCTCCCTATGTTGTAGACATTGTAACGTATATTGGAGGATTTGTAGTAAAAAAAATTGGAAATATCACTTGCTTGTGTTGACTATCAGATTTGCCGCACTGATAGTGATGAAGGACCATATTCCTTCATTCAAATGAAGGATGATCATGGGCTGAAATACCCTTCTGCAGATGTGAAAATCTGCAAAAAGAGCAGAAGTAGAAGTAAGAATACATCAAGGGAGAAGTGACATTTTTAAAAGGGCAGCTTACACTACAATTGTAAATAGA